TTGCCTTGTTAGGCTGCCGGTGTGTTCGGTAGCATCGTCCTTTGCCTTGTTGGGCTGATGATGTGTTCGGTAGCATTATCTTCGCCGTTTCCACATCTCCAACAGAAGTTATTGTCTTATTTGGGCTGTCGGTGTGTTCAATAGCATTGTAATCTTATTATGGAAAGGATACGATTGTCTCACGTCTTAATATAGCCAAGCAGAGCTTGGTTGATATCTTCGCTACAGCTTGAGGGGGAGTGTCGCAAATCAGATTTGTGTTATATATTCTATTCTTTAGGTCAATATTTGTTGCCATAAATTGAGGGTCAATGTTTGTTGCTTGTTTCCTGCTCCTTTTCCATGTGTTTGTGATGCTTGTTTCATGCCATGTTTTTGGCTTTGTCCCAGGCTTTTTGTCTGTTGAGTTATGGCTATAAATAGCCTTGTACAATTGTTCATTAAATAGATTCAATATATCAAATACAATCATATATACATCCTCTCTCTCATTCTTGATCTTGCATTTTCAATGGAAACTCAGATTTATTTTTCACGAGAGATGCTACCATTTACTCATAATAATCTTTATGGGACAACCACCCTCTTTAGTGCTGGTTGTTCTTTCTTCTTCTTTAATAATACTTTATACGAACTTGTTGAAAATATCGCATGTGTGTCATTATTTCGACCACATACTTTGCACCTTGGGAACTAGCTTATATCGGAAGAGTTGCTTCTACGACCCATTCCAATTTATGAAGGCTACAATCTGGTGGCAGCCACCGACCGAGTAAAGGCTGTTATTTTAGATTTGACAAAGACTCTGGTTAAACTTCACAACCGACGGTTGGTTACTTCAAGAGAATGTTCAGCCAGTGTTACTCCAACATCTCTTAAAACAATTTGTAGAACTGCAACCAACCCTGGGAAGAGGCTGTTCAGCCAGTCATCAAGAACATCTAGGGTCAATTCTTCCAATCCTTGGATCAGTCCATATCGCACCCTTGCTACATCATTTATATGACTGCAGACGTTCCTTACAATCAAAAGCAACTCGCGCCCATCTGGTTGAAGGGGCATCTCGTATTCTCTGTCTCCTTTGGCTGTGTGTCTTCCCCATTGAACATTGGGGCCAGGAATATCATAAGGATGATATAATCCATATTCAAAAGGTGATCTTTGTGGAATCTTCCGCCACCACAGTGGATAGTGTTGCTGCATACTATTACTTATTGCAACTTCGACTTCCACACGCTCAGCCCCACAGTCAGATCTGCATCTCATAATTAAATCCAGCTTTTCCTTCATACTGAGATGCATGTTTTGGTAACAGAGTCTTTTTATCCACAAAAGTTGGGTGCTGAAGCAGATGAATGAAATGCTAAAAATCCATGGGCACATCTGTAAAACGTATCCCAAGAATTTCTCTAACTTCTCGGGCCAGACGATTGTAATCATGTTGAAAGCAGCCATGCATAAAATATATTCGGTCTCGATTGTAAATGTTTCCAACATCATAGCCTTGTATCGAAACAGTCAGCACCGCACGATCATTGACTATGAAAATGTCACGGATCTATATCCAAATCTCTTGAAGTAACCAACCCTCGGTTGTGAAGTTTAACCAGAGTCTTTCTCTAATCCAAAATAACAGCCTTTACTCGGTCGGTTGTTGCCACCAGATTGTAGCCTTCATAAATTGGATTGGGTCGTAGAAACAACTCCTCCGATATAAGCCGGTTACCAAGGTACAAAGTATGTGGTCGAAATGACGACACACATGCGATATTTTCAACACGTATAAAGTATTATTAAAGAAGAAGAAAGAACAACCAGCACTGAAGTGGGTGAGTGGGTGGCTGTCTCATAAAGATCATTATGAGTAAATGATAACATCTCTTGTGAAAAATAAATCAGAATTTCTTCGGTAATAATGCTAAACACCGGCAGCCTAAACAAGGCACAAACAGTAGCATTATCTTCGGTGATAATGCTAAGGTCTCTCGGTGATGTTTGTGCCTTGTTTAGGCTGTCGATGTGTTCGGTAGCATTGTATTTTGCCTTGTTGGGCTGCTAATGTGTTCGGTAGCATTATCTTTGCCGTTTCCATATCTCCAACAGTATTTATTGCCTTATTTGGGTTGCCAGTGTGTTCGGTTGCATTGCAGTCTTATTGTGGAAAGGATACGATTGTCTCACGTCTTGATATAGTCAAGCTGAGCTTGGTTGATATCTTCTCTACAGCTTGAGGGGGAGTGTTAGAAATCAAATTTGTGTTTATAAATTCTATTCTTTAGCTTGTTTCCTGTTCCTTTTCCATGTGTTTGTGGTGCTTGTTTCATGCCATGTTTTTGGCGTTGTCCCAAGCTTTTTGTCTGTTGAGTTAAGGCTATAAATAGCCTTGTACAATTGTTCATTAGATAGATTCAATATATCAATTACAGTCATATATACATCCTCTCTCTCATTCTTGATCTTGCATTTCGTATATTTGCTCATATACGAAATTCTACTCTTATATATATGCGGGTTGATACATTGAGAAGACACCTTTTCGTGATTATTGATTAATTAAAAAGATTTGCTTCCCCTCTATTTCTTCTTCTTCTCTCTTCTTCCCTCTCTTCATCTTTCTCTCTCTCAGTCTCTTTCCCATCTTGCATCAATTTTGGTATCGCGTGCATGTTCTGAATAAATATCTCAGTTTTCAGATGTGGGTAACCATTTTCTGCTATCACATTTGAGTGTTTCTTCTTCATCCATCATGAAGATTAGAGGGTCCGGGTATCCAATTTAAATTCGTGTGTCGAACACATATCTCATACCCATATCGCGTCGACTCAGGTACGTAAGGGGAATAGGAGAATCAAGGTAACGCAATTTTGGAGATAACGGATTGCATCAGGGCAATTCATCCATTAATTCTCTCAATTCAAGTATTTGGAAAGCTTTTATGGCAGATTAAAGCACAGGGAAAAATTCTTCACTATTTGTGGAGTAGCCTTCATGGCAAACTCCCGACGGCAGTGAATTTAAAGAAAAGAGAACTTGATGTTGATGGAATTTGTAACAGATATGGCTTGGGGTTGGAATTTGGAAACAATTGAACATATGTTTCATTAGTGTCCTTTGGCCATTAAGGTTTGGAAACTTTGCCCATTTAGATTGATTTGGCTCATAAAACTCCCTCCTCTTGGAGTTTGTGGTTTCAAGATTTGTTGAGATTATGGACTAAATCTGATTAAAAAGATGATTTGTTGAGCTTATTTGCTTTCATCACTTGGCAGCTGTGGATTTGCAGAAACAAAATGATGTTTGAGGACAGATTCTTGGATGAGTACCATATTGTTGGTCAAGCAATGCATCAATGGGAGGAATTCAAAGTGCAAACACCAAACAGCAGTGTCCAATTTCCAACCATACCACCAAACCTATTGTGCACTGGATGGCCCCTCCAGTTGGTAGACTCAAGGTGAATTTTGATGCTGCCTTTGTTCACTCTTCTGGTGTGAAAGTGGGTGGCATGATACTCGGATGCGCAGGGCTTGATTCTCAAGGCAGCCATCCTTTTCTGGCCTTCTGCAGCCTCTGTAGTCATGGCCGAGGCTCTGATGGCACAAGAAGCTTGTCTTCAATTAGTTGAGTGGGGTGCTGAAAATGCTTTGGTAGAAGGTGATTGCGCTGTGGTGACAAGATTATCCTATTCTGACAGGTCCATTGTAGTGACCTCGGATGACATTCAAAGTGTTCTCAACCGATACCAAGAGATGAAGTTAGCTTGGGTTCCTAGACAGTGCAATAAAGTGGCCGACACCCTTAGTCACTATGCTCTGCAACTAAAGCAAAATCTAGTTTTGAATCTGCCATTCCCATAGCTATTAGGGAATCAGCAGCTTTGGATTGTACTTTCGTATAACTTGTTGAACAAAATTTATCTTTGCTTGCTTCTCGAAGAAAAAAAAAAAAAAAAAAAGAATCAACACGAGAGAATCACCAGGATATTAACATTTTCTAGTAACTATGACCTCCATCCTTTTTTTTCTGCTAGGATATTAACTACTTTTTAGAACCTATCAACCCAAAAATGAATTATGCGGCTTGGAGAAGTGAATGGGCAACAGAAAGGCCTTGGAACAAGATCTAATTATTCAATAGCTTAATAATAGATGGAAATAATATATAAATTTGAAGTGGAACATTTTAGTGAAATAGAGAATGAAAAGCATTCCCAAGAATTAAAGTTTGATACAATTTTTTACCCCTAGATATCTGGTAAAACCACTGGCTAATGGGAGAGTGATATCAGATAGGGTTACAGAGAGGATTAAAGGAAGATCCATGCATCATGTATTGAGATAGTTGGGACTATATTTTTGCCTGCAGAAGAAACTAGAATTGTCACTGGAATTCCCACATATTGCAAAACTCTAAAGCCATGACAAAATTCTTGCTTTAAGCATTCTATTTGTTTTATTTACCATGTTAAAAAAAAACATGGTTTGCAAACTTTATCATTTTAAATTAGCATTTATGATCTTTACTATTATTAAAGAGAACTCTATTTGATTTTCCTAAAATATTTCAATAGTACAAGATTCATTGGTTCTGCAAATCTCACTTGGGAGAAAGAATAACTGAAGGAACCCTATTTAAAGAAATTAATTAACTGAATGGAAAATCAAAGGAAAGATAGGGCAAAGCAAGCAGCACAAGCATAATGCATGTAGTTATCTTTTTAAAAATAAGAATTTAATCTCTAGTCCCATCATTCCTTTCTATACCATGCCAGCACCATTTTGCTAGAATAGCTTTGGCAATTAATGTTTACTTCAACAATGAAAAAAAATATGATGCCCGGTATTTACCTTCAAAACCACTGCTTAGTTTATTAATTGACTAAGCTGAAGAATTGGAAACATTCACAAAATAATATAATCTGATAAAAGAACAGGTAAAAGGAAAAAAAAAACAATCACATAGAGATGGGAAATAGCTTCTGAGATGATACAGTGGCATACCTCACAAATGAGAGTGAGAATAAGGTAGTTGATTGTGAAATTTCGAAATAACGCAAGAGTAAAGCAAACAAGGAGTATTAGATGATGCACTAGGATTGAAGGAATCCAACCATGGTATAATCCATAATGCAACATATCCAACTGATCATATGCAAAGTATCCACATGAAAAGCACAAAGCTTGATATGCCAACGGCCAAGTATCCCCAACCAACTGCGAGTGCTCAAACATCGGATACAAACCATTTCTCATCCACTGATTGGCCAGAATGAAAACCACTGTAGAGGAAGTGCATATTTTTTAAAATTATTAAGGATAACATTATAAGGGGAGCCCAAGTAGAAGAGAAACATATGAAGATATACATCAAATGGAACTAAGAAAGTAATGGATAGCATCTAAATATTAGATGATGCAAAAGAAATATATTATTGCGCTCCCCTCTTGAGCACTGTCCATAATACTTTACTAATCATTTTTTTTTTTTTTTTTGTAGGAGTTCTTAGGAAAGCATAATCAATCAGTACAACCAATATTAGGAAACAAGATAAATATATGATCTGGTCACGTAAATTTATAATTTTTATTTCTGAATTCGAATTAAAAATGGGTTGGATATGGATCTTCCTCTAAGTATCCATCATAAATCTGATTCAGATCTGGATATGAATTCTGTAATGAATCAGGTTTTATGCTAGATTCAATCCAAATAAACTATATTTTTCTTTATTAGGATTCTGTCTAAATTATATGGGTCAGGTATGGATCATATCATATTGAATCCAATTCAAAATTTGAAGGATTTTGACATTGAAATATGAATTGGACTTGGGACTCACATGAATCAAAGTTTGCTCCATTTCTAGCCCTAACGAAGGTTAAACTAATTAAAATTCTGTTTTTTGTAAGTTCTACTTTCCAAATACTTCTGGTCAAATCCATCAATCATTTGACAAGTTTGATTGATTGAACTCCCTCCAGCAGCCTTTGAGCGATTTGTCCAGCAGGTTTGATTGATGGACTCATCAGTTGTAGCTCTATGGAGTTGGTTAAAGCGGCAGTCGAGCAATCCATCTATGATCTACATTTGAAGCGCTCTCTTTTTCAACAATTTTATTGTTAACAAATGTTCGATAAATCCATCACAATTTTGATCAATTGTGGGCTTTAACTTTGAGAAAGTTTTTAATTTTAGCTTGAGCCTTCTATAGATCAAACCAAGGTCATTGAAGTTCCAATATATCTAAAAAATTATTCCAACCTGAATCTCTATCAGCTAAGGTCTCAACTTTTTTTATTCTACATGTGTGTTTAAGAGCTTGTCTTCATCATTTTTTATTTCTTCTTTTGAGTGTAGACAAGCTGATTCCAGACATTTTGTTTTTATCTTACAACCCCAATTTTGTGAAGAAAATTGCCAACACGACTCAATTTCCTAACATAACTTCCTGGCAACTATTTAGTGCACCAAAAGAAGATTGCAAGTCTCATCAGCTTCCTTACACATACCAATACCAAATCAGAAACACCTTCCCCTTCAGTACCCAATTGTTGTTCTTTAGGATTCTCCTCAAAGCAACCCCCCATAGGAAGAAAAGCATTTTCGAAAGGAACTTCATACAGCCAAATAACTCTCCAAAGGAAGTCAGAGCCTCCATTAGTGCATCATAGTAGAACCCCTAGACTCTTGTCTTAGAGGGCTTACAAGTCAACGTGTCTTTCCCCAATTTGGCGGTGGCAACATTATACAACAAATAAAATCGTTTTTACATTGAATCCAATTTTCAACCATGTTTGTCTTAAATAACAGAGGATATCGCATCCCCTTTAGTCCGGAAAGGCTAATGACGCATGCATTTTTTCCACTTGCAATAAAGTGACATGTGGCTGCATGTCTACAATACAAAAGGAGGAAAAGATGTTGTGGTACTCATTAATATGCATTAAATGCTGATGAGACAGCACTTGTATCAGAAGAAGACGCAGTTACCTGACTACAGGAAACCTTAAACTGAAACTGAAAGTAAGAGTTTAGAAGGGGAACAACAACTATTTTTAAAGAGTTCAACCTAGTATAAAATGAATTCATTCAGACAATTGAAAGATGTGCTAAGGAGGTTTGGAAATTATCTACATCCAATTAAGCCAGAGTAGGATCTTCCATTTATAGAGAAAATTTGATTCTTTGAAAGATAAAGGGATCATCCAACCAATGTACTAACGTAGCGGAAACGATAAAGAACAGGGTTAAACCCTTGAACTCACAAAGAACACACTCACAAGAGAGAAATTGAAATTATATTGATAATGATGATGTTTGCAGACTTACATCTCTTGCCTTTACATAGGCAAGTCAAAAATAAAATAAAATAAAGAAAGTATGCGTGAAATAATATTAAAGGGGAAATTTGAGATTTGATGGAATAGAATCCTCCTTAAATCTTGCAATGGAGAATAATATCTTCTATTGCTGGCAACTACACCAAATCTCCTTTTGACTTTTCCTTATTTATTTATTTATTTCCTTCTATTCTCCTTACCTTTTAAGCCTCCCTGATTTGCGATGATTCTTTTGACTTTTCCTTATTTTTTTATTTCCTTCTATTCTCCTTACCTTTTCAACCTCCCTGATTTGGGATGATCCTATATGTTCAGATAATCATGAGCTAGCTGTTCTACATCAGTCTCCCCTGCGTAAAAAGAACTCGTCCCCAAGTTACCCGAATCTGGCGGATAATATTCATGTATGTCAGCCACATTGAAGGTAAAAGAAATGGCCATGTCAGTAGGTAAATCAATCACATAGGCGTTGTCGTTGATTTTCTTTAGAATCTGGTACGGACCATATTTCTTGGCTTGCAGCTTGTTGTATGTTCCCACTGGAAACCTCTCTTTTCTTAGATACACCATAACAAGGTCCCCTTCTTCAAATACTCTTTTCCTTCGTCTCTTGTCAGCTGCGGCCTTGTATTTGGTGTAAGTTTCCTCTAGATGTTTCTTGACACTCTCCTAAATGGTCTTAATGTGCTCAACTATTTTTTCTGTAGCAACATTCTTCCCCGGCAACTTTGGTAAGGATACCAAATCCAAAGCAACTTTTGGAGGACAACAATACACAACCGCAAACGGGGATTTGCCAGTGGACCTGTTAACCATGCAATTGTAAGCAAATTCTACCTGGGCAAGAGCAAGATCCCACTGTTTTGGTTTCTCTCCTGAAATACAGCGAATTAGATTTCCAAGGTTTCTATTCACCACCTCTGTTTGGCCATCAGTCTGGGGGTGAATAGTACTACTGTAATTAACAGACGTATCGAATCTCTTCCACAAAGTCCGCCAAAAGTGAGATAAAAACTTGGTGTCACGGTCTGAGGTAATGGACTGTGACACCCCATGTAAACGAACCAACTCCTTAAAGAACAGATTGGCTATATGGACTGCATCATTCGTCTTCTTGCATGCAATAAAATGGGATATCTTGGAGAATCGATCGACCACCACAAAAACAGAGTCTGCTCCTCGATGCGTCCTCGGCAACCCAAGAACAAAATCCATGGATAAATCCTTCCATGGAGCATCTGGAATAGGCAGCGGTGTGTAAAGACCAGTATTCTAAGATTGGCCTTTATTAGTTTGGCAGATTGAGCACCGCCGCACATGGTTCTCCACGTCACGCTTGAGTTGTGGCCAATAATACCGTTCTTCTACCAGCTCTCGCGTCTTATCACGCCCCAAATGTCCTCCTAATCCTCCTCCATGCAATTCACGAACCACTTGCTCCCGCAAAGAGCTTCGTGGAATACACAACTGATTGCCATTAAAGAGAAATCCTTCCTACATGTGCAACCCTTTAAAGGATTGGCTCGTTTTAAATGCTGCCCAGGCTTGGCCAAAATCTTCGTTAGCCTCATATAACTCCTTCAGGCATTCGAACCCTGTGATTTCAGCCTTCATAGTTACTAAGAAAGCTGCTCTCCGACTTAGTGCATCTGCAACTTTGTTCTGTTGGCCTGACTTGTGTTTTAGTGAGAAGGTGAATCGTTGGATATAAGCCGCCCATCGTGCGTGCATCCGATTGACACTGTTTTGATTGTTAATGGATTTCAGTGCTTGGTGATCTATAAACAGCATGAACTCTCGCTGGATAAGATAATGCTCCCATGTATGCAACGCTTGCACTACCGCATAGAATTCCAACTCATAGGTAGTCCACCTCTTGCGTGTTTCACTCAGCTTCTCACTGTAAAACGCTACTGGCCTTCCTTCTTGTGATAGAACTGCTCCGATTCCCACTATTAAGGCATCACAATCTACCTGAAATAGCTTCTCAAAATCTGAAAGGACTAAGATTGGGGCTGTTGACAATTTTTCCTTGATTAAGGCAAAACTTATCTTAGCTTCCCCTCCCCATTGGAATTTTCCTTTCTTCATGCATTCTGTGATGGGAGCCATAATACTACTGAAGTTCTTGACGACCCTTCGATAGAACGTGGATAAGCCAGGGAAACTGCGTTCTTCTCCCACATTCTTTGGCGTAGGCAACTCCCGAATGGCCCTCACCTTCTCCTCATCTACCCGAATGCCATCACTACAAACCACATAGCCGAGGAATACTAGGCTTGGGGTCATAAAGCTACACTTCTTCATATTAATGAACAGTTTATTCTTCTGCAAAGCTGTTAATACCTCTCTTAAGTGCAAAAGGTGTTATGCCTCTGTTTGACTATAAACCAGAATATCGTCGAAATAAACAACTACAAATCGACCAATAAATGGTTTGAGTACCTGATTCATCAACCGCATGAAAGTACTTGGCGCGTTGGATAATCCGAATGGCATGACTAACCACTCATACAGTCCCTCTTTTGTTTTGAACGCCGTTTTCCACTCATCCCCAGGGCGGATTCTGATATGGTGGTATCCACTCTTGAGGTCCACTTTGGTCAAAACTTTCGATCCCGAAAACAATCTTTTGACCAAAGTGAATATGTTGACGGGAACGAAAGAAGTCGACTTCTTTCATCGGACCCAAAACAATCTTTTGACCATTCTTGTATAGAATATACACATTGTCTCTACCACGGTAAGTGGCATCGACATCAAATTGCCATGGTCTGCCCAATATCATATGGCATGCATCCATGTCGACTACATCACAATGCACCTACTCTGCATATGTTTTCCCAATTGAGAATGGAACGGTGCAGGATTCAGTTACTCGCGTTTCTGAGCCTTTCTTGATCCATCCAATTTTGTATGGATGGAGATGTTTCTCTGT